CTCTCTCTCTCTCTCTCTCTCTCTCTCTCTCTCTCTCTCTCTTCCTTCCGTGTTTACACACTCATCACACACAACAAGACTGTAGATCCAAACAACAAAGAAGACAGCACACCGCAGTGTGCGAGAACAACAGGACACTGCACTGTGCCTGAAATGTGCCACCCAAGGTTTCGGCAGAGTTGTTCCAGAGACAAGTCCAGAGGAGATATGGCAATTGAAACGGTTTTCACCTTTGCAGAAGCAGATGCAGATCCCAGGGTTCTATCCCTAGATCTTACCTGCACCCGTGTACAGTGCCGAGTAGCCCCCTGTGTGTTTTGAGCTCGCGACCTGTGTTTTAGTAGTGACTGTTCTTTGTCGTAGGTCCCTGTAGCTGTAGGGATTCGATCCGTAGATCTGTCAAGTAAGTGTTACAGCTGTGTAGAGGTGGAAACTGCTAGGCTAGAGGTCTGTAGGCTAGTCGTAAGTCCAAGTGCTTCGAGTCGGCAGTGCAACCCCATGCAGTCAGCGGTACCGGTCCCAGTCAATCAGAGTCCAGTCAAGCAAGTACCGTGTGGGACTGTGTGCACCAAGGGCCTGGTGGAAAGAGGCAGGCCAGCGGCCAACAGAAGTATAAATCAAGAGGCAGCGGACAGCAATTCATTCATTCTGCTGCAAGCCATGCGGAAGCGCTGCCAGTGCGTCCTGTGCAAGGTGGTCTGCAGATGCCCGAGGTCGAAGTGCGCTGAAGGAAGATAGTTCGTCCATAGCCGCTGCAGCTTAGAAGTTGAGCTCAGTGTGTGTGTGTATTCGTGTACAGCGAGATTGTGCGTGCGCGTGGGATATCCTGGGAGATCCATTGTCTGTGTGAACAAGGTGTGAGGACGCAGTGACGTGGGGGATGAAGTAAAGGCGCACAGGCGCCATAGTTATTTGAAGCGAACTTGTATTTGAACTGTGTTCTTGCCTGTGATATGTCTGAGCTTGGTGTGGGCGCCTGGCGCCAGAGTACTTTGCCATCTGTTTACATGCATACGAAGTAAGAAGAAAGTGAGTCTGATTGCACAATGGTCAGTGAATGAAAGCATGCCTTTAACTTAAAAAGAAAAAATGACGGGCAATATACTGCGGGGCGCTTGCAGCGCAATATTACTGCGGTGGCCAGCGGGCAAAGTGGAGTAAACCTCCCCTACATCTGCACAAACCAGCACCAGTGCCCTGAGGTAATGGAGGAGTCTGAAGGATTAGCATGTTATGCGCCGCCATGAAGAAAGCGTCCTGTTGGAAATACAGTAGGCTGTCAAATGCAGGTGTGCCTCATATAACTGTATTGCAAATCGAGTCAAACCTGTGGTCAAGGTCAGGGCTGAGCATAAGATTCGGGGCCATTCTACTATAACCGAGCTGTGACTAACACAACTGGACTGCGGTGCTCACATGTCAGTTGCTGCGGTCTGATTGTGACTATCCGATCTGATTGCGACTATCCAGTTTACTTGCAATCCTGACTGAATTATATGCACATGCAACTGTTGTTCCACATTCACAGTTCAAAACAAATCCATAACGCTGCAATCAGACTCGCTTTCAACTGGCTACGGCGCCTGAGCGCTCACACATCCTCTGTCCGACACTGTATGCACACGACTGTTTGCACGCACTCGACTCTGGATCTCCCTGGATATCCCACACACACAAACTCAATACCGAACACACACACTCACACTGAACTCTATCTCTAAGCTACAGCGGCTATGGCCGCTCTACTACTACCGGCTACGGACGAACTATCTCCCTTCAGCCCACCTCAACCTCGGGCTTCTGCAGACCACCTTGCACAAGACACCTGGCAGCGCTTCCGCATGGATCACGCAGGAATGAATGAATGGCTGGACGCTGCCTCTTGGTTTATACTTCTGTAAGTCGCTGGTCTGCCCTTTTCCACCGGGCCCATGGTGCACACAGTCCCTCATGGTACTTGCTGACTGTACAAAGTGAGACTGGGACTGGGTACCGCTGACTAAGCGAAGTTGGACTCACCACTTGCCCACTTGCCTCTGGTCTACTGTGAGTAACGTGAGAAAAACTCGAACGGCCACTTCCGGACCTTCTGGAAGTCTGTGGACTTGGCCTTTCGGGACTGTAGCAGCTACGGCCTTGACCTTTCAGGGCTGTAGCAGCTACGACCTTGACCTTTCAGAACTGCTACAGCTACGGCCTCTACACAACTATCACCCCTAGTCGACAGATCTACAGATCGAACCTCTACAGCTACACAGACCTACGACAGGCAACAGTCAACTACCGAAACACAGGTCACGGGTTCAAACACACAGGGGTCGACTCGATACTGTACACGGGTGTGGTAAGGTCTAGGGATCGAGCCCTGGGATCTGCATCTGCTACTGCTAAGGTGAAAACCGTTTCACTCCCACCGGCCTAAATTCGAGGTCCTCCGAGAATACTTCAGTCCACGGTAGGGGCTTTTACCTTTCTTATCTCTCTTGTAGGCTCGGACTATATCAAGAGCGGTCTCCAGAAGCTCTGTTTGGGTAAACCAGCAGTCGTCTTCCAGCTCTTGATAGGCAAATCGAACCTTGTACTGTTTCTGTTGATGACCTCTACCTCCTGTTCTGAACACATCTTCACCTACAATGCTGTCAATGTAGTACCTTCCATCCATGTCCGGAGGGATCATGGGCCTCCGTGATGGAAACTGTTGACTTGTGGTACAAGGCAACAACTTTGACGCATGAAAGAATGGGTAGGTGTGGAGGTGTGCTGGAATCTTTGTGGGGTAGGACTCCATCCTCTCCGCCCTTGACTTCCAAGACAGGCCACGGTCCTCTATACGCAGGTAACACAGTTACTGTGAGATGTTTTCCTCAGGAGCGAACTCTTTTGACTTAACCCAGACTAAGTCGCCTACTTGGAACTGCGATGGGCGACGATGCTTATTGGCTTGCTCTATCATTCTATGTTGGGCCTTCCTGAGGTTCTCTACTACGGTAGCAGTCTCTTTTTCATGCTGTATCACAAACTCCCTAGTTTCGGGCGGTAGCCTCTGGATATGATCCCGGTTGAGTCCCTCAAACAGTCTACGCGGTCTAAAGGACTTATGCAATTCGTTGGGAGTGCGACAAGTGGCTAAGTGCGCACTGTTATTATAGGCACTGGCTACCATTGGGAGCGTCTCATCCCAGTTAAGTTGGTCGGGTCTAATGTACATTCTCAGAACCTGCTTCAAGACTTTGTTCATTTGCTCAGTTTGACCGTTGGTCTCTGGGTGACGGCCAGATGACATCAACAACTTAGAGCCATATACTCTCACTAGTTCCTGCCAGTTCTGACTAGTGAACCAGGTATCTTTGTCACTAACTATAGACAGCGGTAGCCCATGGTCACTGACCCAACGATCGAAGAACTTCTGTATCACTAAATCGGTACATGCCT